TTCTTCAATCTTCTATAATTTTTCTTCAATTCTTCCTCGGCGCTGTAGATCCGGCTCGATGCGACCAAAAAATGTACGGCACGCCGGGTACAGCTTGAATAGATGGCCGCTGAGAGGAGCTGATGTTGTCCAGAGTGAACCGCTTGATTGTTTCTTCCTGTTCCTTAGGGTAGGAGCGCCTGTCGCTGAATGCATGTCGGGGCATGTTCCGACTCGAATTTTATATGCTAGGACTGAGCTGGCCAGCGATCCATTACCTCACCCATGCTATACTTTATTTTTCATTTTCTCAAAATTTACAATAGTGCGAGCTTAAAACTAATTGTACATACATCGGGCATACATTTAGGCATATTTTTAACACAGTTACGTGTCCGTAAACACGATATTTTAGGTGTGGCGCGCAAAAAATAGGTCTCCGCAATATTTATACTTTCCCCCTCCATAGGGCTTCGCCCTGCCACGGGGCTTCGCTGCCCCACCCGCGCGCTCCGGGCGCGCCGGGTGGGGAGCGCAACATGTCTCAGAAAACGGTTCTATACAAACATGTTTTGTCTCCTACACGGTACATTTTTACACTTATTGATGTGATACCTATTTATTTACGTAGCCCTACGTGTTACCCATCTAATACAACAAGTTTCTTACAAGAATATTAATAAACAACAGCTGTACGGCCCTATAAAGTTTACAAATTAAAAGGTCTCAAAAAACCTACTTATATTCACTTAATGCCTAACTATCATATACCGTTTTAAAGAAGAAGCAAAAACACACAAAATGACATCATTATTATAACAATTATACCTATATCCTATTGACTATTCGTAAAAAACTATTCCCAATATTTTCCTTAATTACGCTTAAACTACTAACACGATTCATACAAAACTTCGATATATTATTCCTATAACTACCTACTATCTAATAAGACATAAAATAAATCAATCAAAACATAAAACATACTATTATCGAAAATTGTCAACTCAGGCAAAATCCTATAAGATGTGAGACAAGGACAACCTATTGTCTCCGTCCCTCCTATAGGTCGGAACTATCAGTATTCTGACTAGTTTCCCCGCGCCACCGCTTGGCGTCGTGGCGATCGTTTAGATAAAGTCTTATAAGATTATTGGAGAGAACGGGGCGGAATATCGCTCTGAACTATCAATTTTACAATGGTTTACTATGGGCAGAGCTATCTATTGTTGCGATATCCGACTCATTCTAATAAGACAACAAGGGAATGACATTTTTAATGCGTATACAACCGATTCATGTGAAATTATAGATACATTTTTATACATTGTTCTCGTATCGTCGTAAGTTCATTTTCTCTCGCTTCGGTCGTCGCGTACACTAATAAACATTAATTCTAAGCTCGTTTCTGATCTGGAGCTCTACTCTATTTCTCCGAAACGAAATTTCGGCAACGAACGAATTTTAAACGAAATTTCGCCAGTGACTACTCTATTTCATCTTCGAACACGCACATAAAGTTCGGAATCAGAGACAATTATGAATGAGTTATGTTTGTGAGTCCTTTTCGTCTACACTTTTTAGACAACGTTTTTTACTCCAAAACAATATTACTTTATGACAACATTTTTGATTACATTAAAACAATCTCTTTTGACAGTGTTAGCCGACTAATATGTAGAGTTGATGCAATCGAATGTTTGTCAACCTAAATTTGTCGTGTAACACTTTGAAGTATTGGCAATACAATAATAAACAAAAATTAGATTTATAATGCGATTCAACTAAGAATAGGACCGACTGGGCGCCAAATTGTAATGTCATAGCTGTCAATTCAAACCAAATAGGTAGAGTGAGCAAAAAAAGTTTTTATTTAATAAAAATTATTTACTAAGATTAAGTAAGAAAAGGCATCAGATTTTTTTAATAACATTTATTTACTAAGATTGAGAAAAAGAAAACACCGATTTTTAATAATATTTATTTATTGAGACTGTGAGAAAAAACATTAATCAGAATCTAGCTCTTCTATTCCGCTCATCTCTGCATTACCGCTGGAGTAGTTATGAATAATCATGCACTATTACTAGGTCACATATGAACATGCATCCTTTATGTAAACGAAAGTTTGAAATCGATTTTCTGAACGCAACTTAAAGTGACATTTGGTTGACGATTTAGGTTATCAAGCATTCATGTCCAAGGCTCAATATGTGAAAAAAAATATCAACCGATATTAATTAACAATATTTATTATTGTTTGTTTACAAATGTTTGGTTTTTATACTTGAATTAGCGGAGTGCTAAAAAAAGCTTCCAAGTTTTTTTTGCAAACCGTTCTTTTCAAGCGACATTTGACAGAAAGAGGTCATTGGCTTTCCTATTCTTATTTAATCGCATTATATATGTAAATCTTTCATACTAAAAAAAATTCCTCACGCTAACCAGCCTTAATTAAAAATACTATAACAGTAATTTCAGGGTTTAATTAAAACAAAAATCCCAAAACGAAAATGAAAAGGTAACACTTTTCATTTCGTCAATTTGAGGTTAAAATTTCGAACAATTATCTGTTAAATTCAACTTTTAGTTCAAGTTTTGTGAATCAGAGTAGGCTTAGAGAATTTAAATGTCAAACTATTTTCGGATGAACGAATTTTCGAAATGAAATAGAAGCAGAGTAAGGAACATGCGAAATTTCAATCGAAATTTCGTTTTTCGTTGAAATAGAGTAGGCCTGATCGTTTCTGAGATAAAAAAAACATCATGATATAATCTAAAGAAAAGTTTACTAGAAAAAAATCCACGCGGACCAGGCAGCGGACGGGACTCGAACCCGCACCCTTCGCAATCCGGGCGAATACACTGACCTTTATGCTACCACGGCCCTATTCACCGCGTCGAAATTTTCCTAGCCTTAAGCTGCAAGGCAGCGCCAACTCTTCGCATTGTAGGTAACCCACAATGTCAAATGAATACTTTTTCAAGTATTAAACATTCGAAAGAAGAAATAGCAATTATAGTTATTTTTTATTTATTTTTTAAGCATTTAACTGCTAGATGTTTAAATCTAAAGAAAAGTTTACTAGAAAAAAAACAACGCGGACCAGGCAGCGGACGGGACTCGAACCCGCACCCTTCGCAATCCGGGCGAACTAACCTTTATGCTACCACGGCCCTATTCGCCGCGTAGAAATTTTCCTAGCCTTAAGCTGCAAGGCAACGCCATCTCTTCGCATTGTAGGTAACCCACAATGTCAAATGAATACTTTTTCAAGTATTAAACATTTGAAAGAAGAAATAGCAATTATAGTTATTTTTTATTTATTTTTTAAGCATTTAACTGCTAGATGTTTAAATCTAAAGAAAAGTTTACTAGAAAAAAATCCACGCGGACCAGGCAGCGGACGGGACTCGAACCCGCACCCTTCGCAATCCGGGCGAATGCACTGACCTTTATGCTACCACGGCCCTGTTCGCCGCGTCGAAATTTTCCTAGCCTTAAGCTGCAAGGCAGCGCCATCTTTTCGCATTGTAGGTAACCCACAATGTCAAATGAATACTTTTTCAAGTATTAAACATTTGAAAGAAGAAATAGCAATTATAGTTATTTTTTATTTATTTTTTAAGCATTTAACTGCTAGATGTTTAAATCTAAAGAAAAGTTTACTAGAAAAAAATCCACGCGGACCAGGCAGCGGACGGGACTCGAACCCGCACCCTTCGCAATCCGGGCGAATGCACTGACCTTTATGCTACCACGGCCCTATTCGCCGCGTCGAAATTTTCCTAGCCTTAAGCTGCAAGGCAGCGCCATCTCTTCGCATTGTAGGTAACCCACAATTTTTTTCTAGTAAACTTTTCTTTAGATTTAAACATCCAGCAGTTAAATGCTTAAAAAATAAATAAAAAATAACTGTAATTGCTATTTCTTCTTTCAAATGTTTAATACTTGAAAAAGTATTCATTTGACATTGTGGGTTACCTACAATGCGAAGAGATGGCGCTGCCTTGCAGCTTAAGGCTAGGAAAATTTCTACGCGGCGAATAGGGCCGTGGTAGCATAAAGGTTAGTTCGCCCGGATTGCGAAGGGTGCGGGTTCGAGTCCCGTCCGCTGCCTGGTCCGCGTGGATTTTTTTCTAGTAAACTTTTCTTTAGATTTAAACATCTAGCAGTTAAATGCTTAAAAAATAAATAAAAAATAACTATAATTGCTATTTCTTCTTTCAAATGTTTAATACTTGAAAAAGTATTCATTTGACATTGTGGGTTACCTACAATGCGAAGAGATGGCGCTGCCTTGCAGCTTAAGGCTAGGAAAATTTCGATGCGGCGAATAGGGCCGTGGTGGCGCAAAGGTCAGTGCATTCGCCCGGATTGCGAAGGGTGCGGGTTCGAGTCCCGTCCGCTGCCTGGTCCGCGTGGAATTTTTTTCTAGTAAACTTTTCTTTAGATTTAAACATCTAGCAGTTAAATGCTTAAAAAATAAATAAAAAATAATCATGATATAATTTTAAGGCTTAATTACACGTATTGGCGCTTTACATTGTTTAACTGCATTTAGCAGATATTATTTGCGGTTAAGTATAAATATTTTAATAATCTATAAATGTAATGTCTCTCCTACCTAGGGGAGACATCAGTACTCTAAAAATCCTGATGTCTTCCCTAGGGGGGCCGTCAGGGTAGACAACAATCCGACATCTTACGATACATTATGATACGTTAGATAACAAATTAATATGGTTAGTGAATTTATAAATGCTTATCAGATGCAAAAACGAAAACGGGGACTTTCTTCTTACTATTACAACAATAAACGGAAACACTATGATAACAGTGGCGACGGAGTAGGTATTCGATTTATTAAAAATAAGTAATTATTTAGTGAAAGTAGATTGATCGCGCGCGCAAATACGGTACTAGGATATAATGAACTAAGAGGAGCTCACACTCGGGCTCGTTAAACTTTGACCTCGTGAGGAGATGTTATTCAACGCGCGCCTGCCTTTGATAGCGGTATCACTGGTCAACAGATGCGATGCTGCATCACAGACAGCAGTACATTGTCAACTGTTGTCGTCACTTGGCGGTGTCTGCGGCCACTTTTCCCGCCAAGCATCGAGACGGTTCATTCGTCAAACGCTTGCCAACTTTCGCGGTCGCACCATTGGACACGGCATCAATAATACTACGCGATTATTGTAACAATAGGTGCTGGTGTTTCGTGAAAGGAGAGCGTCGGTTTTGTAACAGTTCGGCGTGGAAGAGCGGCTGCAGCTGTGTGTGCCAACTTAAGTGCAAGTGTTTGAAGAGAGTAGTGTGCACCGCCTGCCAGTTAGTGAGAAGCAAAACAAATGATAATCGTGGGGGCCAGACTCGAACGCGTCGCAAGTAACGACTGACAATATGTTGAGGAAGAAGGCAATGGAGGTGCTGAAAAGGTATGAACCATGTATGCACAGGCCTTGAACCTTAATATATTTCTTCGTATATGAATCTTTTTGGGCACTATATGTTTGCCTATTATAGCAAGTAACTAAAATATTATTACCTATTTTATTAAACTTACTATTGGTACAGCTTGTTACTAAAATAATAATAATAATAACCTAAGTCAAGCTCACAGGACTAACCCATATATACATACGAACATTAATAATACAAAAGAACTGAAATGAAATGAAATGAAAAATGAAATGAAAAGTCATTTATTCAGTCTAGGCTGTTACAAGCACTTGTGAAGGTCAAGAAGCTACGCCATCGGTTCGCAAAACTACGGCGGGAGACCTTGTACTGAGAAGAACCGGCAAGAAACTCAGCAAGGGCTGCTTTTTTCTCCCTGTATTGATATATACAGAGTCGTCAAGTTGAAAAATGATTTCAGAGATACATCTGAAGTCACCTTCCATTACATTATTAAGGATATAGATATATAGTTACAATAAATTTTATATTTAGTATATAGGAAGCGGCATTAGATAGGTACCATATTACTGTTTCAAAAACTGACTCATACCCATCAAATAGCAAATTACAAGAAACACTATGTCCATGCATTTCGATCATTTAGATAATCATTAACTTTATAATAGCCCTTATTCATAAGAGTATTCTTAATCTGAGATTTAAATTTGGTTAGTGGAAGCTCAATCAGATCTTGGTGAACTTTGTTAAACAATGCAATACTACATCCCAGAAATGAACCTCTTGATTTTTGGAGTCTGAAACATGGAACGGCAAGTTTGTTATTATATCTCGTGTTAAAGTTATGGGTTTGACTTTTTTTTGTAAATGCGTCATAGTTTTTTCTTACATATACTAAATTTTCATAAATGTATTGCGATGCCAGTGTTAAAATATTAATTTCTTTAAATTTTTCTCTAAGAGATTCTCTTGCCTTTAAATTATATATGGCGCGAACAGCTCTCTTTTGCAGTACGAAAATACTTTCTATATTAGCAGCTGAGCCCCACAACAAAAGGCCATATGACATAACGCTATGAAAGTAACCAAAGTAAACCATTCTTGCCGTTTCCACATCAGTTAGGAGTCTTATTTTTTTAACAGCGAAGGCCGCAGAGCTCAGTCTACTTGATAAGGCATCAATATGAGGATCCCATTGCAGATGCGAGTCTAAAGTAATACCCAGAAACTTTGTAGAATCCACTAACTCTACAGGCTGGTCATTTATTTTTAAACTAGTATTAACCTGCCTCACATTAGGTAAAGTAAACTTAACACATTTTGTTTTGCTAGAGTTTAGTTTTAAATTATTTACCGTAAACCAGCGAAGGACTTCAGAGAGAGCACAATTTACTTCGTCATAACAATCATTTCCTCTCCTAGCTTTAAACACTAAAGAGACTAAAGAGGTGTCATCAGCAAATAGTACTGTCTCACACAAATCTCTTGTAAAGTGAGGAAGGTCATTAATATAAATAAGGAAAAGCAATGGGCCCAATATTGAACCCTGGGGCACGCCCATAGAAATGGGTGCTCCTGTAGACTCAGCTTGATTTATAACCACTTTCTGAATCCTAGCAGAAAGATAAGACTGTATCAGACTTAGTGAAATATTTGATACACCATAATGCTTCATTTTATTTAACAATATTTCATGGCTAACGCAGTCAAACGCCTTAGATAAATCGCAAAAAATGCCAATAGCATCGTGCTTACTCTCCCATATATCAAAGATGTGTTTGAGAAGTGCAGTTCCAGCATCAGTAGTACTTTTGCCTCTAGTGAAACCAAACTGTTTTAAATGAAGTAGCTTATTTATAGAAAAGTGTGCTAGTAATTGGTTATAAATTATTTTCTCAAATACTTTACTTAGCGCTGGTAATACAGATATAGGCCTAAAATTGCTGGGATCTGATTTGTCACCAGCCTTAAAGAGAGGGATAACTTTAGCACATTTCATTAGATCTGGAAACACTCCCTCATCAATACATTTGTTAAATATAATGGCCAGTTGTGGCGCAATGACAGTGATAATCGGTTTTATTATATATGTTGATATTCCCCAATAATCCTCTGTCTTTTTAATTTTAATTGAATTAAAAGTTTTTATAATACAATCACTACTGATATGTCTAAAATGAAAATCATTACTGCACTTATCAACACTTGACTCAAGGAGGGTCATTGCTAACCTAGAACAAGAATTAAGATTTCTAGTTGTTTCAAATGGTGCACTAGAAAAGAAATTTTGAAAAGTGTTTGCAACGGCATCATCTGTCCTAATAGTCTTATTGTCTATTTTTAAAGAATATGTGTGTTCATTAAATTTATTTCTTCCAGTTTCATTATTAATTATATTCCAAGTTATCTTTATTTTATTATCGGAAAGACTAATTTTTTTAGATAAAAACTTAGACTTTGCTATGGCACACACCTTTTTAAAAGTTTTTGAATAGTTTTTGACATATTCTATAAACTTAGGATCAGATGAGGTTGCCTTGAGAGCATATAATTGATACAACTTATTTCTACTTTTGTAAATACCCGGTGTGGCCCAATCACTAAATTTCTTTTTAGAGCTATGGCATTTAATTAATTTGCGTTTAAATATTTTATTGAATTCATCTTTAATTAAATTGAATAAATCTTCATACAAAATATTATTATTATTACAAACTGGTAAGTTCGATATTTTGTGATAAACGTTATCTTGAAATTTATTTATACCCGTTTGTGTAATTGGTCTACAAGTTAGGTCATGTTTGGGTGAAGCATGATGGTGTTCAATAGAGGCTAATTGTCCACTATGATCAGAATTAATACAATTTATTATTGATTTATTAAAAACATTTCTATTACAAAAAATATTATCCAAACAGGTTGCTGATGCATGTGTGATGCGGGTAGGCTCAAAGAAGGTATGCTTCAAGTTATATGATCTAAATAAGTTTAGAAACCTACTCACTAATGGACACTTAACTAAAATGTTTATATTAAAATCACCACACACAACAACCACTTTATTACATTTACATACTATATTGAAAGCGTCTTCCATAGCGGACTCAAATTGAGTGTAATTCCCAGATGGGGGTCGATATACACATATTATGATCATTTCTTCCAGTTCCACGCAAGATAGTTCAACATTACGTTCAACTGAAAGTGAAACAATATCTGCACGTTCTTTGTATTTAAGATTATTCTGTAAGATTATGAGAGAGCCTCCCCTGATAGCCGATTTCCTACAAAAACTACTAACAACTGTATAATTATCTAAGCCTGTAACTAATTCATAATTTCTGAGCCAGTGCTCTGTAATACATAAAATGTTTATATTCATTGTATTTAAAAATAAGCATAGTTCTAAGTCTTTACCAGAAAAGCCTTGTATATTTTGGTGAACAATATTTAGAAATTTAGACTTTTCCTTGGTCATGATATAGCTAGAGAGCTCCTCTGTTGTCTTACGAACTAATTTAAATTACAATTAATGTCAGTATTTGGAACAAATTCCAAAGTCTGATCCACATAATTATGCTGCTCAATAGAAGCAGTAGTGTTAGCCAAGTTTTTGGCTATGTGTGTAAAATAAAATAATAGCGAAGAAGCTATTTGTCTCTTATGGTAATATGAAAGATAATATTTATCTCTTGTCATTTTAAAATTATATATTAATTTATTTATATCAATTAAATGTATTTTTTGACCACTATACTGAGACATGGTACTTAATGTCAAATTTAGCCTGTACCTAATATTATTTTCTTCACTTGATAGACTCTTACTATAAGGAAATGTATACATAACTATTCTATTTACATTTAGAGAACACAAAGAGTTATAGTAAGTCATAATGTCATTTTTGCCAACATTACCTCTATTACCAATTAAAATAATTAAACTTGTATTTTTGTCAAGTTCAAGAGTTAATATTTTCTTCATTAATTGGTGCATTGTGACACCTGGCAAACAATAATTAATTGTATTTTCACCCAGCTGTTTTTGTAGTAAGCAACCCAGATCTTTACCAAATTCGTCACATAACATTATATACTTATGAAAGTTTCTCTGCTTAAAAGAATTACATCTAATTGTGGTCTCTGAGTGAACAGATTTATTAATCAAGGACTCGCATACTGGATCAGTGTCATTTTCTTCAGTAATGCTCTGATTCGATACCAAAGAGTGACACTTTACAGGTGTGTCTTCGTGAAGGGAGGGGTTAGATAGACACTTTAAGGCCAGAATGTATTCATCTATCTGTTTTTTTGAGTTATTATAATTCTGAGTCATTTTAGATAATGATTGTTGAAGGCTTTTTAACTTAATATTCAATGACTCCATATTTTGTTCATATGTTAATCTATTTTCTTCAATTATGGAACGGCAAATATCTAATTTTTGTAGTAACTGTGTACGTTCTTTAACAAACTCAATATTTCTATAAAATGATTTTTCTTTATTTATAAGTTTCCTAGTTTTTAAAATATACCTTCTGACTTTAACATATCTTTTTAATTTGTTCTTACTAAGCTTAACAAGTCCCTTCCCGGCAGAACATTGACATGAATTGTCAGAATTCAAATCATTTACACAGGGGACTGAAACGGAAACTGTCTGCCTGCATCCACCACAAAATAGTTATGTGGTTTCCACCGTGGTGGATCATGGCGCAATCTCCCTATTACATCCATAGGGATATCCTGTTAGTCCTGTACCTTAACAGTGGCAACATTAATAGTCTGATGTGGATGATATGAACTAATTCACTACATACTTCATATACGAAGTGCGACAGCGCTACTATACCTATATATTACGCACAGAAAAATACAATAATAATATATTATTGTAAAACGAAATAAACTTTATTATTATTCATATAACATAACTAATTTCATGATGACCTCTCCTCCAAAGAAATAACATAATAAATTCTGGAATACTGATTATTCGAAATATTATTTTACACAAA